GCCTGGATACTGAGGCCCCTTCTACACCACTGAATAAAATCCAGATTATCTGCTTTGGTGTGGATTATATGGCAGTGTTGACTCAAATAATCCAGTTCAAGTAGAAAATGTGAATTATCTTTCTTGATATTCTGGATTATATGGCTGTGTAGAAGGGCCCTGAGCATGGCAAGCATGGTATGTGACATTGTGGATCTTTTCCCTGACCTTTTAATTTTCAAGCCTAAAAAGCATTTCAAGTTTGAAATGTCAAATATGGGCCCAAGGAATGGTGGAAAAAGAAATCCAACAATTGGGATTTGTTTTTCCATCACTCCTTAGACTATTTGCAAAATCCAGCAATCAGAAAACAATGGTAGAGAATTCTGTCAAGCTCTCATGGAGACCAATACACCCCTTCTATCACTGAAAGTTACCTTTCCTTACGTGCCTCTGCTACTCTTCTACTGAAACTCAGTGGTGACCCCTTTCCTCATGTCACTAAACATTTGTTATTATCTTGGCTCTCTTTTTTACCCGTTAATCCATACTCCAAGGAAAGTCCAGTAGGTTATAGCAGAAACTTAAATTCATGGTAGATTGTGAACTTTGACATGCAAGATTAGCAGGGGCTCCACAAAATAAATCTTGCAGCAAGAAAATATGCAGAAAAGACTAAGGGCTCTTCCACACAGCTGACTAAAATCCCACATTACCTGCTTTGAACTGGGATATATGGCAGTGTGGACTCAGAAAACTCAGTTCAAAGCAGATATTGTGGGATTTTCTGCCTTGATATTCTGGGTTATATAGCTGTGTGGAAGGGCCCTTAGGTGATCTCTGAACTTTTTGTACTTCTAGACTTTGTTCTACTTGTCTATTGTTTTCTTCCTCAAGGGAATCATCAATTTAATGGATAATGATGGTAAGGCAAGAAAACCTCTGCTCCCAGTCAAGACATAATAAACATTTATTTGTGTGGGTGGAAATGCTCCTGGGCCTTTTAGATGTAGCTCATTAATTAACACAGCTTAATTAGTTACAAAGTTATTCTGTTTCGTTTCAGCTGTCCATCAGTGTAGGGTGCTGCATGTACCTGTTCTTCATGACTAGGAATGTGAATGCTGCTCTTAATATTCATTTAGGTTGGAATAATTTTGGTGCATTGTTGTGATTCTTGTTGTTTACCATCAAGTCAGCCTTGCCTTCTGGCAACCCTATAGATCACTGGTTCTCAGCCTGGGGTCCCCAGATGTTTTTGGCCTTCAACTCCCAGAAAGCCTAACAGCTGGTAAACTGGCTGGGATTTCTGGGAGTTGTAGGCCAAAAACATCTGGGGGACCCAGGTTGAGAACCACTGCTATAGATAGAAGATCTCCAAGGCTGAATTCATGAGAAGATGGTAACCCAGCTGTGGCTTGATCTTGCTAACATCACATTCACCTGTTTTAATCTGAACTCAAATTGCAATTGGGATCTAAGTTTCACTTGTATTATATTGATGTCTCCAATGAATGAAAGTTATTCAGTGATTGGTCCAATGGGTCTGTTCTAGTTGCAACTACCATTAGGATTCAGCCCTGTGAGTCCTATTAACTGACAGAAAACTTGGAATTGTGAGTCATGGATGGACTTTTTTTCCTGAGTCTAACAAGCTTCCATGTGTTTTGATTTTCTTTCCCTCTACCTCAAAACTTCCACACCCTCAGAAAGTGGGGAAATAAATGGAGAACCCATGATCTAGCTCAAAAAGTCCCACAGACTGAGGTATGGAGGAGGTGGTGGAGCTAGTGGAAAATGGAACAAACACACCAGCTTGGAAATGGTCAACATGTATTAGTCTAAATGTTGCCACTAGATTTAACTAGAGTAGGCCCATTGACTCAGTTGGGTTTATCAGCAGGTTAAGTTGCCATTCAACCATTGATGGGATGCCTGCCATTGTAAGGCTTTAATGGAGTTGTATTCTGTGCTCTTGGAGTGTATCCTTACATCAACTCTTCAGAATGTAATAGTATTGATTGACACAATGATCCCCTTCATTCTATTCACTGTGCTTCCTTTTCTGTTGTGACAATTATAATCTATGGAATCCTGGACTTTGTAGTTTGGTGGGGCACTAAGCTGTTTGGCTGAGATTTCTAAATTCTCAGCCAAAACAACTCTAAACCATAAATCCTAATATTCCATAGGATGACACCAAGACAGTTAAAGTGGAACCATAGTGCTGTAATTTCATAATGTGAAAATGCACTTTCCATCAAAACTGGTCTTTTCTTTTGCATTTAACCTGTTGTTGTGCTTTAGAGGTACAAAAATGAGTTCTGATGATAGTGGTGATTGCTTTCACTGATTTTCTGAAAGCAGTGTTCCTTGCTGGAATTCAGGAAAAAAATAATTAAATGCAGTAGGTTATAGGAAGTCATGGTATGTGTTTGTGTACCCTGTCACCAAAACATAACTAGAAGCAAATAATTTCTTAAAAGGTATGAGAACTAAAATAATATATTGATTGAAGATCACTGACTAAAACTGATGTAAGTTTAGCTGACAAAGTGACTTTGTTTGATTAAAGGATATATTACTGGATGACTGTGAGCCTTGATTTACAAACAATACGGAAAAGTTCTTTGAAAGTAGAAATTAGCATTTTCAGTAACATTTTTGTCAGTAAAAAAAATCCCTCCTTTCTTTTGATGCTGCATTTGTAAAACGCGAGTTTATTGTTTAGCTGTATCTCTCTTCTGAGAAAAGATCCACCACTGCCAGGCGCTTCTTTTTATACCATGTGCTTCATCCCTGTTTGCAATACCTTCCATACATTTTCTAGAACAGAAGCAGGAAAAATTATATAAGTGGTCCTTGTTGAACTTGACAAAAACAGTCAGCATGAGCAAGGGATTCAATCCAAATTTAGTCCTACTTTCCATACATCCATGGAAATGAATGGAATCTGAGTTAGTCATGACTAACAAGTTGCCTTCATTTCAATGGATTTTTTACTAAGTGGGATTAAAATTGGAGTTAAACTGCTGGTTGCAATAGGATTTTTGAATTGGATGGTTTTTCATATATTGAGAAACCACAACTAACCTTTAACAAGGTTGGTTGGAACTTATCATAACTGGAGCCCAACAAAAGCTGGAAGGCCTTGGAATTTCCAGCCACCCTCTAATATAGAGCTTTCCAAACTGTGTGTCATTGATACATTGCTGTCTCAGCTGTTGTCTGCCAATGTGTCACATAAAAATAGGTGGGGAAAAGCAGAGGGAACATTTTTACCTGATTCTGTTTTCCCTGTCTTTTGGGATGGCCAACCATCCCATGTGCTTATCTCGTCTTTCGCTCGTTTTCTGCCGCCTGGAGTTGGGTACCACTCAACTCCTGAACATGGCTGCTAGGATTCCTTTCCATACACTGAAGAAATAAAGCTCCATGGAGTCCCATTGGAAGTGCCTTTATATCATGTGATGGCCTCTATGGGGCACTGTTTCTGCAGTGCATGGAAATGGAACCTAGAAGCCATCTGAGGTTCACAGTCCAGGATGGCCAGAAAAAGTTTACTGGATGGTCAGGAAAAGTTGAAGGTAGTAGGAAAAGAGGGAGACTGTATTACAGATGGATTGAATCAATCCAGGAAACCACAGTCCTGAGATTGCTGAAGGTCTCTTCTTCATTGAATTGTCATAAATCTAAGCTGACTTTGTAGAACATAACAGCAAGTAACAAGAGGAAAATAAAAGGGAAGAAGTATGGCAAATAATGGGGTCAAATGGCCATGAAATTACTTTGAGACAATTCTATTACAGTATGCAAACTAAGCCCAAGAACAATTTGCAATAGCAGTTATATCACCAATTGCTGCTGTTACGAATACACAGGGTGCTTATTTTTGCATACTTTAATTGAATTTTCTCCAAGTGTTTTTCCTGCATTTGAACCCACTGTTTACAATGACAGATCCTCAGCCAACTGAAATCTAATCTTTAGCTTTTTATTTTTCTATAATAGCAGTGGGCAATGGGGTTGGAATAGGCCATGGCATATGGAGAAGAGTCTATGACCTTTTGCTCCCATGTAGTCTCTATGATTATCACATATACGCACCATATCTGCTATTCAAGACAAGAAGAACTTTAGCTTGGCATTGTGGCAACTATCTAAACTTCAGCTGGATTTATAGAACAATACCCACCCCCACCCCCTTCCAGGTCATATTCTCAGTCTGTTTTGGGATATTTGGTGGTCTTCTAAGCCACACCGAGTCCTTCAGGAGATGGTAGTGGGGTACAAATAAAGGATTATTATTATTATTATTATTATTATTATTTATTCTACACAGCTGTATAAAATCCACATTGAACTGGAAAATATGGCAGTTTGGACTCAAATAACCCAATTCAAAGCACATATTGTGGATTATCTGCCTTAATATTCTGGTTCATATGGCTGTGTGGAAGGGCCCTATGCTAGCTATTTAGTGAAGGAAACAGACTATGTACTACTTTCACTTCTAGGTCGGTAGAAAAAAGGTTCCAAAAGTTTCAACTATATCTTATTGTTCTCCTCTCAGAAGTAGCTGGTAATTTTCATGCCATTGGGGCTGTGAATCCATTCTGCTTTACAGAAGGTATCAAAACCTTCTATAAAAATTAGTCAAGCACCTTGGGTAAATTGTTTAAAGTTCAGAAGAAAATCCAGACTGGATTCTCCAACCCATTGATGAGGAAACTGTAGTGTTTATGACTGGGGATCATTCTGCAGTTTGAAAAACAGTGACACAATGGCCAAATGATAGTGGGAGTTTTGGTCAAATGTTTATAGGATACCAGTCCAAGGAATGCTGAATTAAAGCACTGTGTTTGAAGGACATGTTCAGAATGACGATGACAATGATAATAATAATATAATAGTTTTTTATTTATTATCTGCCTCTCCTTATGGGCCAAACCAGGGTACCACATAATGTAAATCCATCATCATAATGAAATACATTAAATAATATATTGAGATCTGCAGTGTCACTGCCTCCATTGGTGCTCCAAATTCAGCAGCAGCTGAGACCACAAGGTAAATCTTTTAAGGAATCTTTTAATGGTGTGAATAGCAGTAGCTGTTGATTTTGTAGCAGCAGGGTATCTTTGAGGTGGCTAAAGAGAAAGAAAGAAAAAGAAAAAAAAGATATAACCCTTTTTGCCCATCTCTGTTCTACATAATTAGACAATTGGGAAAACAATCTGCGGTATATAATGGGATTGATTATGGTTCATTATAATTGACACATAAACAGGTACATAATTTCTCTTATTCCTACCCACATTTCTACCTCCAATTTGATTTATGGCACGTTTCTGAGGCTGGATTTTTCTCCCCCCATTTTGATCCTTTAAAAAACAAAACAGCTCATGTTACAACTTTCCTCTTTCCCCAAATCAGATCTTTGAATGAGTAATGTATGAATGTCACAACATGCCCACAGTCTGAACAGTAAGAAGTTCAAGTGCTGTTCATTTTTTCCTTCTGTGTGATTGCAGAAAGGGCTTCGAATGAACTTTATGCTTTTGAATTAGTATGGCATCATTTTAGCAATCTTAATGTTGTTCAGGGACTGTTCATTTACATTAATTTCCCAGACACTAACCCACAGATAGTGTGTTTCAAAATGCCAAATAACTCAACCTGGAACAAATAATGATGATCTTTTAATGTTAGGCATCATGTTGAATGTTTAACTTTACCAAAGTTTTCTTTTTCTTTCTCTCATTGGTAGTTACATTGGTGCTGAGGTATGAAGGTTTATGTGTCCCCCTTCAGCTTTATGGTTATTGTTGCAATGCTTTTTCTCTACTTCATAATCCTCCTGCAAGAATTCAAGCATCTCCCAGTGTCTATGGATTCATAAAAGAGAGATTGGTTGATTTTCTCTCTGCACAAAATCTTTACACATTCTTTTTACAATTTGAGTTACAAGCAGACATGTTGCTTGTTTCATCCCGTGCAGAAAGACAGCTGAAAAATGCTTTAATAAAACAGAAGAATAAACTGTGGCCAAGAGTAATTTCAAAGAAGGGCATGATAATTTTGATACAGACATTACAGAGATATGAAGAGCTTTAAAGGAATGAAGATAGCCACACAAAGGAAGTAAGAATGCTGGTGTCTCTTAGTTATAATGCACACTGCAAGCTTCTCCTTTCAGCAAAACACACACACACGCACACACACGCACACACTTGCATTAACAGAAAGGAGACAGTAGCAACACCAGAATTAGGGCTTTTCACAATTCTTATTTGCCCTAGAAACTAGGGGCCCTTCCACAGAGCTTTATATCCCAGAATATCAAGGCAGAAAATCCCACATCAAGGAAGAAAATCCCAGGGTGGATCATTCTAGACAGCCATTTATTGTGGAAACTTCCACAATAAAAAGGGGGCTGTCCAGATGACATTCTGGCCAACCTGCAATTAATTTGCCACAAACCAGGAAAACCCTGGTTTGTGGTGAATTAATTAGATAGTGGATTTATTCCGCACCTTTTTGGAAACTGTGGGATAAAATCACTACTTCCAGTTTTCTTCACTACCATACAATATTTTTAATATCCCACCTTATGTTTGAACTATAATTGAATTTGCAGCTGTCTTCCCCAGTATTCATGGATTTGACCACCCATAGCTTGAAAATATAAAAAAGAAAAGATTGATTTTGCCATTTTATATAAGTGACAACATTTTAGTACACCATTGTATAATTGATCATCCTTGGATTTTGGTTTCCAAGAGAGGGTCCTGGAACCAGATCCCAGAGGACACCAAGTGCCCACCGTATATCAGTGCATCAATTGGGAGCTAAACCCATTGTTAGTTCCAACCAGAAAAAAAGTCATTGGCATGAATGGGAACAGTTAGTCATAACCTCTATGAGTCTCATTGAATACAATTGAGTCTAGTTTTGCAAGGAATCATGCAGCTCTCAAGAGGTTCCTGGACTAAAATTCCTGACATGCCTTCCCATTGGCTATTCCAGCTAAGGCTGCCAGGATTTGTAACATAGCAAGTTCTGGAGGGCTACATGATGCTCACCCCTGTTATAGAACATCTAAAGGAGATTATAATATGTCCTGAGATAAATCCTAGTTCTGGTGAAGAATATACACAGAGTGCAGCCTTGATCTGTAAAAAAAAAGTTTTGTAATTAAATCCTTCTGTTAAAAGACTCCAAAAGCAATTATTCATAATCAATTAGTGGTTAGCCATACAGTAATAAAAAAACAAAAATAATAGTCTTCATTTCAAGTTCTTTTACTACCTGAAAAGTATCCTCCTTTTTGCCAGAAATGAAAGTTTTTCTCTTTCCCAGTTTTGTTCCACTAGCTAAGAATGTGACTGACTGTTGATTAAAATTATTGAAAGCTTATAATTTAGTTCTCTTTCCAGCAACCAACAGACTATTGACTTCTGAATATAAATGATGTTAAAATATCATGCAGAAATTTTGCCCGTAGTTTCCCAGACATTTCTATGGATGCAGAAGAAATACCAAACCATGTATTTTTGTATAGAAGTTTAGCTACATAAAACAGATGAGGTGGGTGGGCTAATTTCATTGATGGGACAATAAACTGGGATAAACTGACAAGTGAAAATGACCTAAATGGACAAATGCAAATAATTCCAAGGAGGGCAGACATTATAGCAGAGGTCAGAGATGCTGTTGCAATCCAATGTTATTATTCTTTACCATTGGCTCTGTTGGCAAATGCTTATGGCAACTGCAGCCAGACAACTTGTGGTGGTGCCAACCTTTTCTTAAAGGCTAATTCATTTATTTGGTACATGTCTCCTTAGATTCCAGCTCACATCATTAGGTGTATTTGAGAAGAAACTCTATTTTAATATATAGGCATTCCTTGGTTAACAAAGCCTTTGACAAAGAAGTTCCTTTTTACACATTATTTTATACTCGCCAGCTCCCACTATTCCTTTTCATCCTCTGTCTGGCCGGAAGATTGGGAGGATGGTGAATGAGAGCGGGAAAACAGAATTTTAGTATTGTAGCAATACCTCTGCACTAAACAATACAATAAAACTTGAACTTAGTAAGAATGGGATTCTACTCTAAACAATCTTGTTGCAGTCATGTGTAGCTCAGGCAAAGGGAAGATCAGTTGTTTCCAGAAGGCTTTAATGAGCGTATTTGAAAAGCAAAAACAAGAGAAAAGTGGACACACACTTTTGGAGATGCACTGTTTAATGTTAAAATGAAAAGGCAAGTCAGCCACACCCACATTCCACAACTTTTTGGGCATTTTTGACAGTATGTTGAGCACCCAAAGGGCTGAAGGGGCAAAAAAAAAACCTGGCCCTCAGATCTGCCACATTGGTCACATTGGTGTAAATATTATGGAGGGTGCTAAGGGTAGCTGAGTAGTTGCATACCCAAGCCATGTCTATAATACTTCAACCCACTGGGAGGAAGCAATTTATTTAGCTGCTTGGAGAATTCTTTGTCTATGCCTGCTGTACTGATCCCAAATCCAATTGTTAGGCCAAGACTCATGGGATCAATGGCAACCTGGAAGTCAGGAGCCACCGGTGGCGCAATGGGTCAAACCCTTGTGCCGGCAGGACCGAAGATCTGAAGAATCTTTGTCAGCTCCAGCTGCCCATATGGGGACATGAGAAAAGCCTCCCACAAGGATGGTAAAAATCAAAAACATCTGGGCGTTCCCTGGGCAACGTCCTTACAGATGCCCAATTCTCTCACACCAGAAGCAACTTGCAGTTTCTCAAGTCACTCCTGACACAGATGCCCAATTCTCTCACACCAGAAGCAACTTGCAGTTTCTCAAGTCACTCCTGACACACACAAAAACCTTGGAAGTCAACATTTATGAGTCATTATTCCATCCATTAATGAGTACATTGCTGTTGGGGATAACCTGTATTTTTCAGGTCCCAGCACAATTAGAACAAAGTCCCATTTGGCTTCTCCTCTGCCAGAATATTCATTAAGAGCCATGCCACCTAGTGGAACCACAGAACAAAATGAGGAACAAAGGCCTATTCTTTTGGCTTGGTTGGAATTGACAGTCAATACTCTTCTCCCTTAATAGCTCTTACCATGTTTAAGAGCTATATGTTATTTGAAAATCTTTTATTGTTGTTGTTATTGTTGCCTTCAAGTTGTTTCCACTGATGGGAACATGAATATGGAACTATCATGGGGTTTTCTTGATATGATTTGTTAAGAGGGAGGTTGTCGTTGCTTCAGCTGGAGTAATAAGACCTGCATTTTAGGGAGAAATATTTTAAAATCTTCACCAGAGAGCTCTAATGATTAACTGAATTTCAAATCTCAGGATTCCAGAGGATGTAGCCATGGCAGATAACAATGGAATCATGATGCTTCATTTGTGTGCTGTGGAAGAGCTTTTGGCATGGCTCTTGATCATTGAAATTTGTGTTTATTTTTCTCTTCTCATCACATGACATTTTCCCTTTTGCACCATGGCTATGAAGTTTATGCCACTATTTTACACTCTAAGATTGCTTGTCTATATTGTTATAGAAGTGATGTAACTCCACAAAAACTTGCAAATTGTTACAAAAATGCATCAAACAAATGTTGGAAATGTGGGGAACGGACGGACGCATTCTTCCACTCGTAGTGGATGTGTGAAAATGCCAAGAAGTACTGGGGAGAAATTCATAATAGAATACAGAAAATGCTACATGTAAAGATTAAAATGGAACCAAAATAATTCCTTCTGGGAATGCTGGATATAGAAAATGAAAAAATAAAGAGATATTGTTCAATAATTTAGTAACAGCAGCAGGGATAATCTATGCTAGAAATTAGAGATCTAAAAAATTACCCTTGATTGACCAATTGATTCGAAAAATAATTGAAATTATGCATATAGACAGACTGACAATTTGACAACAATAAATCAAGGAAGACCAAAAACCTAAACAGATTGGCAACTGATTAAGGACTATCTGAAAAGCGAAAATATGAAATTAATAATGTAAACAAGAAGGTATAACAAAAAGTTTATAGAGAAATGGGACACAAGGAAGAGACATTATTAAAATGGTAAGAACTATGAAAGGTTTATACAACACCATGAAGTAGATGGAAGTCT